TTCCACTCGCCTGTCGACAAAGCATTATGGTAGTCGTTCTTTTTCTTGGGCTTCTGTCTTTCTTTGGAATGCTCTGCCTATTACAATCCGACAGGCAACTTCCATTGATGATTTTAAGGCAGCTTTAAAAACTCACCTTTTTAGCTTGTATTTTTCTTTATTTTTTTTCCCGAATTTTATTTTTACTGTTAAGCGCATTGAGGCTTTAGCATAATGCGCTATATAAGCCAAAATTATTATTATTATTATTAATACACAAAGTACCAGTCAGTCAAGACTACATTGCGACAGGTTGCAAATGTATACATATATAATGAAGCCCTTTGCATTGCTTGGGAATTCCGTCACTGATCAAACAAATTATTACAATATCACTTTTATATACATGATTTACCATAGTATTCCTGACCTCTATTACATCACTTACTTTAATACTTGCTTGTTTTGTCTTATCTTATCGGTAGTATTTAAACCGTTAGTATATTTCTATTGTATTTCTATTGTATTGTTAAGAATAGGCTTGGTACCACAATAAGAATAGTGAATATTTTTTTTTAATTATGAGAGCTGATTAGTTCAAAAATCATAATTATGTCATGAAGAAATTTTAACACGTTTATCCCAAAAACATAAATTATTAAAACAAATTGCTTCCTATCAATTAAAAAGTTATTAATCTATAAAATGAGAGACGGGTTGATTCCAAAAACAATAATTTACTACATTAAAACATGAGGTTGCAAGGTATTAAAAGCATAGGAAAAATCAAGAAATAGTCAACGTCCCACTCAAGACCTGAAGTAAGCAAATGACGACACCATAATTCAATAATCCTAATACAATGGGAATACTTAAAAGGTGTGATATTTTCTAATTAAATATAGGAAGTGCGGTGTTTCCAAGGGAATAAGTTTATTAAACAAAGGATTGTCGGAAGTCCAAAAAAAGGAATGTTGGCAATCTAAACAATGGTGTATTGAAAGTTAAACAATGGTGTGTATGTGCGCATGCTCCACTTCTCATTATTTCTCTAACAGTATTACCAAGGAGGTATCAGAAACCTAAATCGGGCCGATCCTCTGTCATTATTTTCGAAGTTAAATAAACATTCACACAGATGTCAAATACAGAGGAAACTTGTATTACTTATGTATATGCTTTTAATAGGTCTCTTGAAAAGGAAATACAAACATCCTTGTAAAAAAACAAATATATTTGTATTTTGATTAGGTAGAATAGTCTTTGATTGTAAATACATCAAAATTTCTCACTAGCTACAACTTTTTTCATCAATGGAGCCCTATCATAGCCTGCAATTTACCCTACGGTCTGCCACTACAAATGACTGTGGTTGAATGGGGAAAAACGGTATTTTGGGAAAGTGGGCACTAAAAGAAGGTTAAACTGTATTATCAAAATACTGTACAGAGATGTTAGTGTGCCCATATAATAAAAATAATATTTTACAATTTCCATAAATACAATTACAGTACTATTTGTTTTCAAAGGTGTCGAAATATATATACAGAAATATTTAATAAAACAAAGAATTCTGCTTACTGTATATAATATTTATAACTTGGGTATAAAAATATAAAGGAATGCATGCCTAAAATGTGGTCACACATTAAATCAATAATAAATTTACATAATATGTAATAGAATTTTTTTAAATGTGTACACTTTTATTGACATCAATAAAAACCCAATGTCTTTTGAAGTAACCACATACCCCTCTACGTCACACTCAGCTAATATATTGTTACATTTGCTTAAGTCTCTTTTTTAAAATTTAAGAAAATTTTAACTATGATGACAACTGAACAGTAGATTTTTTATTTGCATAAATATTTTAAGCAATTCCAGTCTCATTACATTGCATGACCTGTATTGTGACCACTGAGTGCACTGCCACCAACAAATATTTAAGAATAATAACTGGTCAAAGTACTATCATATCAAAATCATACCAATGAATAGTTTATAATATATAAATACAGTATATTAAAACACTAGAATGTACATCAAAAGGTCACTTGAATTGAAAATTTGACTTAAAGATTGTTAATTAATGGAAAATACAACAATTTGGCATTATTTTAGTTCAGCAAGTCTAACTGTATATGGAATCAAGTTCTTGGGTCAACAATATTCTCAAGCTTTTTTGAAACTTAAATAAATTTCACCACATAATAAATTTTAAAAAGATTAAAATATTTTGTTAATAAATTATATCTTTAGTCTATTGTACGACAGTTACTCTAGCATATTTGTCCAAGTCAACATATTCTATAAAGCCGGGAACATGGTCTGTAAATAAGAATCCCAAACTCCGAAAAAAGGCAACTGGAAATGATAAATTACCTTCTAAATTAGCCAAAGCTGCAATAAATTTAATTGTTGTTCCACTTACATACATTGTGAATTTATCTTCAGGTCAATTCTCATACAAGTGGAAAAATGCAAAAGTTTGCCCCATCTTCAAGAGTGGTGATAGGTCTCAACCTAGTAACTATAGGCCAATTTCAATATTACTCACTTTATCAAAAATATTAGAAAGGGTAGTGTTTGATCAGGTATACCAATTCATTTATAAAAACAATATGATCTATATCTTCATTATTAAACATTACTAAAGACTGGATAAATGCTATAGACAATGGTAATTTTACAAGTCTAGTTACACTAGACCTTAAAAACACATTTGATACAGTTGACCATAAGATTCTCAATGAAAAACATAAAATCTTTAAGCTGGATAACAACATAATATGGTTTAAAGTGATCATTCCCATACCACGCATGTAAATGTTACACAATCAGCTAAATGAAGCGGTTTGGCACAGTGTGAACGGTTTGGTTTCCCAACCTCGAGGTTGAGGTCTCAATCCCTTGCTGTTCATTTTACTTGTGTCCTTGAGCAAGACACTTTATCTGCATTGCTTCTCTTCACCCAGGAGTATAAATGGGTACCTGGTGGGCACTGGTGGCACCAGAGGGGGGCAGGGGAAGCATAGCCACCCCGTCGGGGAAGACGAGTACATTTTTTCGGGGAATAAACAAATAAAAAAAATATTTACATGTAATGTTTGTTTAGCCACAACAGTTTTTTCATTAAACTATTTGTGTTATAATTATTAATAATAATAACAAACAATGTACGTAATCAATGTACGTAATACACCATTGCTGGTGGTCTGTACAATATTGGAAGAGTAATAATAATAATAATAATAATAGTTTAATGAGACTAATTAAAAATAATTTGCGTTCTGTTATGACAAATGCCCATTTGGATAGCCTCATGATGCTTAAAATACATCATGATTGGTGAAGCAACCTCGACCATGACAGTGTGGTTGACAGATTTCATGCAAATTTTCCAAAATGTAGAATTTCACTTTCAAGAATGAGGAGTTACATTGCATACGCTTTGTTTCTTTTTTTATTCAAAATGTTCTATTCTAGGGAGACTGCTATTTGTGTTATATGTCAATGATTTGCCAAAAAGTGTTTGTAATAGTAGTATTAGTATTTAGATACGCTATTCATAGAAAACTATATCATAACGTTTACAGAGTTGAATAATGATTTGAAGCAATAAGCTCAAGTTAATTTTGAAAAAAGATATGTTTTCAGTAGTTTTTAAAAAAATTCAACATTATTTGTTGTTTTAATAGCTGTAGGGAGTTTATTCCATTCTATGGCCACTGTTACACTAAAGGAACGATCACCTGATCTGCTATGAACTAAGGGGCATGAAAGGCGAAAAGGGTCTGATTCAGAGCGAAGATTTGGTCGTAATGTATGATGAACTTTTAAACAACTACTGAAGTATATTGGTGCTTGATCATTGAAAAATTTAAACACAAATAAAAGAATTTTAAATAAAATGCGTTCTTTGATGGGTAGCCAGTGAAGCGAATTAATCAGTTGTCTGGCATCACTACTTTGTAATGTAAAAATTAGCATGTATGCAGATGATACAATACTTTATTATTCACCTCCTAATATTGATGATGTTGTACATACATAACTTAAATGTTGACCTTGAACACATTAACAACAAACTTACATTAAATGTACAAAACAATGAATGTATTATTATTGGTACAAAGCAGAAACTTTCTAAACTATCTAACAATAATTTAATTTGTATATAGAAAAAATTGTTTAAAAGAGTTAGTTATTGCAAACATCTCGCGATGAAAATTTGAGATGGAATAAGCAAACTGATAATGTAAAAACTCAAGTTCTGCCGGGTTTGCACTATTTGAAAAAGGCCTCTAACTCTAAAATTTCTAACAAATGATCAACAATCTCTAATGTACACAATCATTATTGCTCCTCACTTTGAATACTGTAATCTAGTGTGGGGTAGATCTACTCAAATTTTTAAAAGTCCTACACAATAGAGTGGCAAAAATAATTCTGAAAAAAAAAAAAAAAAAAGATGATTCAAGTACACAAGCCTTGCAGACCTTAAATTAGGAAAATTTAGAAAGCAAATTGTATAAAAATGAAGCAAAAACCATGTATAAGATTTTTTATAACATGGCCCCCATCTTATTTGACCAAACGCTTTACATTTAAGAAACAAAATTATTTAACCAGATTATATGTCTTACAAGTTGATCATCCTCACACTGAATACAAAAAGAAAAGTTTATCTTACCCAGTGGCGGACCGTCAAGGCAAGCAAGGTATGCAGTGCATACCCTGGCTAAAACAAATTTAAAAATATACTAGTACAGTTTTTCCGTTTTATTTAGCATTTCTCAGTCAGGATCTTCTATATATACGCTAATTTTTTTGTGTGGAATGCTATTCATTGGAATAGCTAAGTTTTTCAATGTTTGGCCTACTTTCTGGGTAATTAGGATAAGTCACTGTCGGACCTATCGCATCGTACTTAGAATTTCCGCATGGCTGGTCTTCGATATCAGCCAATTACTTAATCAGTGAGTCAATAGAAGTCAGAGTATACCCTACCGCACTTAAATTTGCTATTGTGACAACCGTGTGGTGGCGTCAGATTAGCCAATTTAACACTGGAATGGAAGCAGTGCTTCCAAGAGTATGTGCGCATGCTCTTCTCACAAATCGGGACCTCCACTGCTGATCGGGTATTCTATCTATAAGGCTAATCTGAATCGATTAAAGAATAAATATATTTACATACTGTACATATGACCGGTATAGAAGAAACTTTGGATTATTATTTAAATTTAAATTTGTTAAAATACAGGAATAAGAATTCTTTTGAAGAAAAGACAACCATGCCGGTATTAAAAATAACATTAGGCGCTTTACGCAAGAGGACAGAGAACCATCGAGAACAGCAGTTCCGATTAAGCACTCTGATGAGCATAAAACCACCGTCCACCGTCTTGTTGCGTAAAGTGCCTAATGTATTTTGACTATAGAACGCAATCTCTTTCTGTATAGTAGTAGGCTTACAAACTTTTCCAATCACTAGCAGGCCCTAGCATCAGTGGCGGGTCTTGAAATGGAAAGGAGCTGATGGTGTTAGGAAGGTAAAGTGGGGGATCGGTGATTATGAGGGGATAACTCGCAAAACAATATGAGGTGATTCTTAATTACTTGAGCATGATTTGTGGGGATGGGAAAATATTTTTTTTCAGGGGTAGGGGGAGGACGTACAGCCCCTTGTACATCATGCCAACACCTAGCATACCCTGCCATTTACCCTACGGTCCGCCACTGATTTTACCGTGGTGCTATTCTTTGGAACACACTGGATGAATGTGTTAGAAATTCATCAAATGTTACAACATTTAAAACACTTTTGTAAAATTTGTGGTTTATGCTTCAATTTTTTGTATCTCATATTTGTATACAATTTTGTCTTTAATTATTGTGATTACTTTTATTTTCCAATCTCAAAGACAACACAGCCTTGTAGAATAACACCCACCGGGTGAGACAAGCCTTCCGTGTAAAAATAAAGTTGTCATAATAATAATAATAATAATAACTTGGCTCCCAAATATGAAGCATCATAAATATATGAGGCATTTAACAACATTTAAGGCATTGCCGAACAGAATATAAAATAGAATATAAAATAAGGAATTGTCAAATAGAATATATAATAAGAAATTTTGAATAGAATATAAAATATAAAAGAATTGTCAAAAAGAAATTGCAACAAATATTCCAACTGTAGAGTTTTAGATAAACCAAGAAAAACAGAAAAAATGAATCACTTTTTATTTCCTTAAAAAAAAATTGTGTAATAAAAATTAAAAACATTGTCATCATTTTTTCTTTCCAAAGAAACTGGAGCGTTTCTTCTTCACTGATCTGTCTTCATTTTTTTCCTTTGATTCTTCCTTTCCTTTTTCTCTTGCTTTTTCCTTTTCTTTTGATTTATCTTTCTTTGATTTGGTCCTTGATGGTGCCTCAGCCTTTGGCTTGTCTGAAGAATATAAATGTTAAAAAAATATTTACCTTATTGAGTATTCGGTACGATAACATGTCAGGTAGGGCAAAACATCACTCCTGTAATATTTTCCTGACGCAAACTGACATCGAAATAGCATTTGCAGTACCCGCTGCTATTTTGGGATCAGATTCAACACTAGTCACTAAGCACAATCTTTGTAGCTTAGTGGTTATGGCGTCAGGCTAGTTATCCGGAGGTCATGGGTTAGGGTCAGGGTTAGTTCAGTAGTACAGTATAACACATCAGGTAGTGCAAAACATCACTCCTACAACTCATATTTACATAATAATCGCATTAATAGCAAGCCATAACAAGGGGCATGACTGACGATATTCCATAATTGAGCTGCTGTAGATGGAAAAATACGTCAATGATGCACTTATGTTGACTTTCATTGCTGAAATTTGATTTTTAAATGGCTGATATTTCTTGAAGGTTATATGGTGAGTGTCAATAACAGAATGTGTAAAAATACGGTTTTTGAGGTAAAACCAAGGGTTAGTTTTCTTTACGTTTCGGAGAGATTGCTCTGACCGCCACCAGGAAAACCATTTTTATACACATGGTGTACCGAAAATTCTGTCACTTTGGTAAATGGCGGCTGTAATATCAAAATGTAGATATCAATTGATGTTAAAAGAAATGATAATATCAAAATGTGTGGTCTTGAATTAAAAGTGAGTGACATGAATGTTAAAAGGAGTAATAATAATGCCATAGGGTGTGACAACAATTCTATAATTAACTCTAATACCTTTAGGAGCATCATCACTGAGAGATGTTTGCTTGATAAGACGGACATTACTGTTTGGTGCTGGTCTATAAGTAGGATCAATGACTGTAAAGACATTGGCATTAGGAGGCGGCAGAGGAGGACCCATCGATGATGATTGTCCCTGTTGAACTCCAGATTGAGGTGAACCTAATTTGCTAGATGCATTTGTGATATCTACTTGTTGCTCGTCCTTGGAGAATGAAAAAATAAGAAAAAGGAATATAAATTTAGCAGATATATTGGAGTTGTAGCTTACTGGATAGAAATTAAAATCCAATAAAACACCACCACCATCATTAACAAAATGAAAGCAACTTAAAATGAGGAGAATTTAGAATATATAACAAGATTCATCTGCTTTTACAGCATCCTTGAGAGAAACAACTGAATCCAATAACACCACCACCTTCACAGCTGATAATACAATTAATTAAATTAAACTACTACCACCATCACTTACTATAGCTTTAATGTCTGTGAGTTTAATACCATTGCCTTTTTGGAGACCAAGAGGAATGGAGACCTTCCTCTCTAGGTCTATATGAACCATGGGCTGTTAAAAAGTGGGAGTAGAGCAAAAGTGGACAAATCATATTAATAAACAATTATATGAACATGACACAAAACAAATATTTAAAATGAAATAATAAAGATTCATTATGAAATTTGTGTGCATAGATGGTTATTAAATTGGTTGTTACTGAAAAAATGTTACAAAGTAAATTACAAATATTCTACATTTTGTGTCATTTGTCGGCATGTTGGTTCATTAACTTACTGTAGAATAAAAATAAGTTACATTCATTCTTTACTGTGCAATTTGTATAGTTTCAAAAAATTTTAAATGTATATTATTTTCTACCATTAATATACTTTATTAATAATCCTTGACATTGGGGATGACAAAATGTGTTGGACTCTAGCCCATTTAATTCTGCACTATATCATGCCAAATTTGTACTAAATAAGTAAATTACCGAAAGGTCCACTGATAAACATCAGATAAGATAGTATAATACAGGAATTCCTGATGATGACATAATTAATGTTGAAATATATGGTTGTTCATTACATATTACTGGCCAAATAATTAAATTAAAAAGATTCTTTATTGTGTCACTGTAAGTGGGATTTGTGTAGGAATTTCTGGTAAAATATGAATGATATGGGTTAAAAATGGTGGCATAGGCAGAATTACCAGTGGGGTGGGAGAAAAAATTATGGACCAATTTTACATTACTATGACAAACTACTGGCTTAACAATAGATTACTGGTTAAAATGTAAACAATTTAAATTTAATCTTTATTAAAAAAAAAAAAAACAATGTTATTATAATGTATTCATTTTTTGGATCGGATATTCTATCCTTGTAAATATTTCATTGTTTCTTGTATACATTGGTGCTGTGCTTACGCTGTATCGTGATGTACTACTACTACTAAATCCTTTCCGAGCCACTGGGGGCTCATAGGGCTGGAGCTTATCTCCAGTTTCTGTAGTGTGACGGCACACTAGTCCGTCGCAGGTTAGTCCCAGCAGTTTGCTGGTACCCATTGATACAGCTGGGTGGACTGAAGCAATGTAGCTAATAAGTGCCTTGCCCAAGGACACAAGCAAATCTGCACAGCGGAGACTCGTATCGTGATGTATTCGCGTTTATTTGTTTACAGGCTAACTTTCGCGATTTGCATAATTACTTGAACAGGTGTACTTCCTTGTTTATATACCTGCTTAGCGTGTACACAAATATTGAAGCATTGCATATATCTGATATATACAACGTTCTAATATATTAAAAGCTATGCCAGGGTAGATAATTAAAATGATTTATCTAATGATTTTTTTTCTGAAGATATACTGAAATGCCACACACTTAAGTTTTTGTTTTTTGCGCATCTGGTTTATATTGCATCATCTGGTTTATATTGCATGCCAAATTTATAATAAATAAATAAATACTGTACCAGTATTCTGCCCCCCCCCCCATGGCAAAAGGGCATAACTGACAATTTGCTGTTTTGGAGATATTAAGCAAAACGTGTAATTTATTTAGCCCTAAAATGTGTTTTAGTATTTGATTTCATGGTTAATGTATTCAATCTTCCAGTGTAGCACTCATTTCTTCTATAAATATTGATTTTTGCGCTCAAAATGTCAGTTATGCCCTTTTGCCGTGGGTTTTCTGATTCAAGACATGTTGACAAACTTTGGCAAAAGGATATAAGTACCCAGTTTAGTTCCTTTCAACGCAAGTTTGAGTCAGATTTTTCAAAAATAACATTCAATATATAATTTCATATGTTAGTCATGTATAAACTATAAAATAAATGTACAATTATACCAAAGAAACGCATTAAATAATAAATACTAAAATTACAAACGATTAAAAACCCATGTATAAGCTATCCAAGTATACAAACAAGAAAATGAATTAACATTAGTATGCTATTATGTATCAACAAAGCCTTTTTGGCTCAAGGTGCTAGATCGAGGACCCTTTGGGTAGGAGGCCTTATGAACCCCTAGGGGTCTGGGGCCCCGCACAAGAGCGCATAGGCGTTACGTCACTGCGTGAAGGATGCATGCGTATGCGTATATGAAATAGAACTACTGTTTAGTTAGAATGCGCATGTGACTGTTTCTATGTGTACGTTTAACAAGAATTACAATTATTTTTTACAAAGTAAAATAATAAATTTATATTTTAAGTCATGTAATTACAATATAAATTGGGCCTATTATTATTATTATTATTATTATTATTATTATTATTATTAGCAATTCTTCTCTATGATCCAAATTCAAGTAGTAATGAAATGATTACGAATAATATTATTGTTTTTTTATATTCTAATAAAATATTAGAAAATGTATTATATATATAGATTTAGATGGAAATGTAAGTTGTTGTTTGCTTAGTGAACACAGTTGATTCGAGGAAACTGTGCATTTATACCTTTTTGTCATGCCATTTGCTATAAATACATGTTGTAGTTGTGCCTCTTTGCCATAGTTATTTGCTAAATAATCGTTTTAGTTGTCCCTCTTTGTCACTGTTATTTCTAGTTAAAATGTGAATTGTTATTCTGCCATGGTTAATTATTTTTACTAAACAGTTACTATTTTCCTATAGTTTATTTCCATAGTATTAAACTGTTGCCATTCAAAGTAAGGCAAGATTATATAGCATAAATTAACTAGGCTTATCATGTTTGCCTAACATTAACTAGAGACAGGAATCATACTATTTAACCAATTTCTATTTACAAATTGTGAGTACACAAACAGTAAGAATAATAAAAATAATACAATTTAACATGCAACCTTCATTGTAACCAGGGAGAAAGCTCTCTTCTGATTGGTTGACTGTTGAAAGAACGTCACGCTTCAGCGTATCACAGCCTATCTTTGCAGTTATGCCCTTTTGCCTTGGGAATTTACTGAAAATTGTGTAGTTATGCCCTTTTGCCATGCCCCTATCTAGCCCCGGGGACACTTTTTTACAATTTTTTTTGTGTCAACATGTGTAACATGATGTACTGACCCCACTAGGCTATATAACTCATTTTCGCCAAAAATGTCAGTTATGCCCTTTTGCCATGGGGGGGCAGTCTACCTGTTTCACTTGCAAAATATCTTTAAAATTATTAAATGGTATTATAATCCCATTCAATAGTAATCCTTTTGAAGAAAATTTGTGACCAAGATTTAGAAAACAAATTGTGAGGATTAATTTTGAAATATGTAATGTGCGAAGTTGATAGTACAGTATGAAAATGTGGCTCAATATATACAGGAACAACTATTTTAATGTATGGCTTTGTACAGTCTTGTCTAATGTTATTCTATGAAACTGCTTATTTTTTAATGCCTGGATTATGCCTACGTCTGCATGCTGATCAATTTGGTATTTAAGACAAAGTTTCAATTTTTTTGCTATACACCATTTTTTGTTTAGTATTTTAAAATATATAGTTGAACTTGCCTATGTCATATTGAGAAATTGTTTGACCCTAACAAAATTTGACTTGCACTTACGGAAATGGAAAACACAACAATTCGGCATGTAAAATTAGATTGACTTAGAAATTATTAAGAGTATATTATTAGTCGTCTTAGGCAATTTTTAATTGCACTGCTCTATTTATCATGTCTG